GGCACCTGTAGCTCCGTGAGCAGGACGCCAGCCACTGAGGCTGGTGGGTTCAAACTCAGCCTGGGCCAGCTAAAACAATGACAACTGCAACAACAAGAACAACAAAAATAATCGGGCATTGTGGCAGGTGCCGGTAGTCTCAGCTACTTGGGAGGCTGAGGCAAAAGAAGCACTTAAGCCCAAGAGTTGGAGGTTGCTCTGAGCTGTGACACCACGGAACTCTATCCAGGACAACAGCTTGGGACTCTGTCCCCCCACCCCCCAAAAAAATGTTTTTAGTGAACATGCCAAAGGGCTAGAGAAAAAAAGACCAATGTGAAAAAGAGCTAGAGGGGCTCAGCGCCTGTGGCTCAACGGCTAAGGCACCAGCCACATGCACCTGAGCTGGTAGGTTCAAATCCAGCCTGGGCCCACCAAACAACGATGACCGCAACCAAAAAATAGCCAGGCGTTATAGCAAGCACCTGTGGTCCCAGCTACTTGGGAGGCAGAGGCAGGAGAATCGCTGGAGCCCAGGAGTTGGAGGTTGCTGTTGCTGTGAGCTGTGATGCCACAGCTGTCTACATAGGGCGACAGCCTGAGGCTCTGTCTGAAGGAAAAAAAAAAAAAAAAAAAAAAAAAGAGCTAGAGGGTTGGAAGTCATTAAAATTTGAAGTCACAACAGGCTAATCCAGCACAGTGAGAAGGTGGAACAGTTACGGTTTAGAAGGATAAAGCAAGAAAATTTTGCAGTACCCTGTCTCTTAACAAATTAAAATACACATATATTTATGTATACTACGTTAGCAGTGACCAGGTCAATTGGATAAAGGTGATATTACAGAAACATAAATTGATAAGAAAAAAGTATAAAGTTCAATTTTGACAGACTGACATAGAAATTCCAGATGAGCAGTAAAAATGACCAGTGGGTAAATGATAAAATCAACAGTGATGGTTTTCAATGCTAGATCTTTTTCAACCTATGAGATTTTTAAAAATACAGATGACCATTTCTACTTCCCAAATCTTCTATGTCTATTTAGCAGACATGAGAGCCATGAGATTTCATAAGGAATCGTGGCTGTAATCTTTCATGCTTCAACTTTTTTTTTTTGAGACCGTTTCACTTTGTCGCCCTAGGTAGAATGCTGTGCATCACAGCGCACAGTAATCTCCAACTCTTGGGCTTATGCAATTCTCTTGCCTCAGCCACCCAAGTAGCTGGGACTATAGGCACCCACCACAACACCCAGCTATTTTTTTGGCTGTAGTTGTCACTGTTTAACAAGCCTGGGCTGGGCTAGAACTCTCTAGACCCAGTGTATGTGGCTGGTGCCCTAACCACTGAGCTACGGTGGTGTTCCAACTTTCAAAACATAGGAATGTACACCAGAAGCCTCACAGGAGTGAGTGAACTAAGTGTCCCACACAGGCATCTCTCTTCTTATGGAGACTTCTAGAGTTATGGACTCTAATTTCAGTAGTGGCTGTGTCTACATTTACACTAGAAAAAATTATAAATTGGAAAAGGATGATACAAACAACGGATATTGAGGAAAGATTTGCTTTTATTTGATCAAAGATCTCCATTATAAGTAGGGGGAAGAAGAGTGCAATCAGACCTTTTGTTCATAACTTACCAAAGTCATTATAATTTACACTTATTCATGTGATTATATGACCAATGTCAACCGTATCCTTTAAAAAATACAGAAAGAGCTGGACGTAGTGGCTCACACCTGTAATCCGAGCACTCTGGGAGGCCCAGGCGGGTGTGTGGATTGCCTGAGCTCAGGCGTTTGAGACCCCCCTGAGTAAGAGCAAGACCCCAGCTCTAGGCTCGG